AACGATGCCGCTCTCGATTTTTTAAATAACGAAAAGATTGGAAAATCGAAGCTTGAATATCGTTTATCCATATTTTTTTAATAGTCCTTTCTTCTAATTATTTAAAAATTTTTAAATCTTCTGTTATGCACGAAAAAATTATTTCACTCAAAACTTACTGCTCCATATTTTTGTCAAATATTTTTATGAATTTTTTTGAATTACTTTAAATATATTTTATCATCTTTGTTTTTCTCTCTTAGATCACTGAATCAGTGATCACTGCAGGCCTATCATTTATATCCTTCCGATCACGTAAACAAAGTGATATTTTTTAACAATACCGCAAGACTCGCGATGCTTTATATAATATAAACGTTTAAATAATTTAAACACTTTACTTGTTTGAAATTTTGTTTAAATATGTATCGATAGATAGAGTTAAAAATATAGGCTCGTAACAATTCTGTAAATTTAGCATTAGATATGATTATATGAATTTCATATTTTTAACAATTATCTTGTACTGCTACGTATAGTAGTATGTTACATGACTTGACAACATCGCCCATAACGATTTTTCCATTGACCTTGCGGACAAGCGATTCTATCCGGTGCAACTATTTCTGGAGATGGAACTCCTAACATTGGTATTTTTGTGTTTTTCTGACACGCTCCAGGTAGAATTATATTGGCCGCAAATATCACACTTATGAACAGAATCTTCACGAGAAGTTTCATTTTCGAGCAATATCGCAAAGCTTCGAAAATAATAGAAATACTGAAAGATCGAAATAAATATTTATTCGTATTTTTCGATTTTTTCGAATTTTTCTCTTATTTAATTCTCGTTTTTAAATTCTTCTCGTATTTCAATATTTCACTTACACGAAATTTTGTTTGTTGAATTGACAATTTTTTTATTTCCCCGAGTTTTTACTCTCTTTTTTTTTCACTGTTTTTTATTTTGATTGTTTTATTCTAGCAAATAAACGTACTTTGCAATCTATTCATTGCGGAGGCTTATTTATATTCTTCCGGTTACATAAGTGTAATGAGCAAAAAAACACAATTTTGCAATCAATTTTATAATTGTTTCGAAGAAACGAGAAACTATGTCTATTAATAATATTTAATTATTCATAAAGCAATTATGTGATTTTTTATGCGTTATCTAGGAAAAATATTAGAATTATGTCTTTATGAAAGATAGATGGAATCCACGATAAATGCAATAACACAAAAGAACTATATATAAAGAATTGTATTATATAAAGATGAAGAAAAATTGATATAAATAGATAGAAATAAAAATACGGTAGGCTTGTATTTATTCCGAGTTGATTGGATACAAGTTTGTCTCTTATCTCAGACTTTTAACAATTATCTTACACTTTTACGCCAAATGACTTGGTGACATTCTCCATTGATGATCTTTCCGTTGGCCTTTCGGGCAAGAAATAATTCTATTCGGTACAACGGTATGATATTTATTGGAATTTATTTTTGCAATCATAGATATACAAGTTTCTTCTATATTCTTTTGTCATTCTCTAGATAAAATCATAGTAGAAACCAATATCAGCAGAATCTTCACGAGAAGTTTCATTTTCTAGCAATATCACAAAACTGAAGAAATAATAAAAAGATTGAAAGATTATTTCAAATATTATTTGTTACTATCTTTCAATCCGTCATTTTTTCTGATTATCTGAAATATTTGCAATTTCTTCTGAAAAATATTCAGATATTTTTCTTTTTGATTTTTGTCAATTTTTCCTTACTTATTGCTCTTTATTAATTTCTTCGAATTTCCATAATATTTTTTTTTCTGATTCACAAGTTTGTTTGCTAGGTTTCAATACGAAAACAAAGTCTGCAATTTGCCCGTCATGGGCAATGATGTTTTTATTCTTCCAATTGCTTAAGCCTTTTATTGTTAATATAAAACTGATTTATTAACAACTTTACCACCGCTTCTGAGAAACTATGTTTGCAATAAAAATTTACATACGCAGCAAGTATTAATCTTTATATGCCAAGAGATAAGCTTAAAAAAAATACTATTCTCCGTTGAAAAGACACTTGTAACGTGATTTATCTTTCTGTATACAAGTATACCAGGCAGAATTACAGTGATCGCCAATATCATTATTTTCAATACGATGTTCACAAATAATCTCAGTTTTCAGCAGTAAATTTCGCAAAAAACGAAATTTTTCACGATTATTTTTATAGAATTTAAAGATTATAATTGTTATAAAAATGTGATATTATATATATGTACGTAACAATTATATCAATGTTTATATATTAGAAAACATTGTTGCAAAATAAGATTAATACTTATCGAGATAGCAGATAGCTGCAATGCATAAACATTCGCTTTCACGAAATGACTATACTTGTTGTTAGATATAAGAATAATCTCGTATCGGATGCGATCTTGCGCATTTAGAATTAGATATGATCATCTCATCATATATATTTTGTAGACATAAAGATCGTAAACATATAATTGCTGTAATAATCGCAATATGATTATTACAGCAATTATATGTAATAATATTTTTATTCAACATTATTTACATATTTAGCGAGTAAAACTAAAAATAAGCGACTTCAAACAATTTTGATTAGAAGAATAATTATATAATTTATTGATTAATTCGATGAATATATAAGATAATATTTGATATATTAGATATATTAGAGAATAAAAGTTTATATTTGCTTGCTTCTATAAGACACTTCTTGAATATTTAAAATCACGAATGTGTTTTCTCGAATCTGTAAACATAAAATTAATTAATATTAATTTAAAAAAAATTGATTATTTTTCATGATTTTTAGAAATACTATGAAATTAAATAATAATAATTAAAGTGAGAAAGAGAGAGATAGAAGTACGTAAATTACAATTAAATTTTCAGTACAAAATGATATAAAAAAGAGTGCACTTAAGAATAAGAAATAAAATAATTGAGATTATTGAACAATTTTATTTTTAACAATCAATAATAAAAAAATGAGTCTTTATAATATAATAAAATAATAATTCATGTATATGCAATATAAGTTTATATCTGCCTCTCTTGCAATTTTATATTTACATTACGATACATTAATTAACATAAATTTGTTATGATAAAACTATTATTTATTGCAATTATATAGCTACAATTTTAAATGTTCAATTGATAATTACTATGGTTGTAAAATGAAATCTCAATAATATCAAGATGCCCATTATTAGTGAGATTATTAGGGAAATAGCAAGTAATACTTTCATTTGTGATCCGAAAATTTGATTATTCGTCATGATTTTTAGAAATACTATAAGATTAAATAACCATAAACATTATCTGTTTTTTAAAATTTTGTTTTAAATAAGCTTAATAAATATGTAAATTTTCTTTTTTTTAATAAATATTTCTTCTAATTTTTTCATATTTTTTATTCTTTTCTGTACTTAAATTTATTATGATGTTTGTACAACTTCTTTTTATAAGGCTCCATTCTATTTCATTTTTAACCTATTGTATTCTTAATTTAATTTTTTACCTTTTTTATTTTTCTATAAAATACTGCTTTTTCATTACCGTTTAAACTTATTACAATTTTTTTGCTTTTTTCGTGAAACAGATGTCTTATTATATTGACACACACTTTATCCTTTTAGGAGCCCAACATGTACTATTATCTTCTTGTTATGCATTTACTATTTAAGCCTGTTCTCTTGATTACATATGCGGATTTCATTACATATGTAAATTTCATCATTATTATTTAAAAAAACCGGTTATAAAAGTATATTAGCATATCTTCTTTTATACATTAATCAAAATTACGGTATCTAAGATATAATATTTAAAGAACGTTAAACAAGTGCTTATATATATATTGTTTATTCGTATATATTTCGTTAATTTATAATATTTGCAAAACTATTATATATATTTTAGATAAAAATGTGCGTCAAAAATATTCATTAGACAAATGACTCAGTCCTAGTCTCCAATTAGAAAAATTAGAAAAAAAATATTGGTCTCTGTTTACTTTTTTACTTTGACAACGTTAAACAATTATTTTAAGAGAAGTTTGTGTTTGCCTATTCTCTCCAGCACACATATCTGTGACTTCAAAAGATTTATTTTATTCACATGATATATGTTAAGTAAGTGTGGTCTCGAGTAGTCGCGGAGAAAAGCTTGCAACAATCTTTGTTAGACAAATGAATACAAATGCAAGCTACAACGTAAACGTACAGGCACATAAATAACGTAGCATTGCGAGTGCTCAAAAGTAATATTTGTTAATATATATCTATAACAACGGCAAGTTAAACGGCATTACAGAGGATAAGATTGGGAATAAATAAATAAATAGCTATACATGATATATATGATTAATACATACATAATTCAATTTAATGGTAAAAAACATGAATACATGAATTTTATGAATATACAGAATATATTATTACATAGAATATTTCTGTTACTTTTTATCGTTATTGCAGTTATGATGGTTCCAATTTTTTCACTGTTTATATTCTCTTACCAGTTTTTTTTTTTCTATACTCTCAAGTCTCTTTGGCATATCTGAGGGTCTCGGCAAATAAACACGTATTGCGATTATTTTACGCAATATCAAATATTTATATAATTTATTTAATATCTCAGGATAATGCAAACTATTAATTATGGAAGATGCGGCATATCAAATTTTTCTCATGTTAATTCTTATAAACCTACTTTTTTTTTAAACAAACAAGGAATTACGATATCTAAAATACGAGATATAATCGCAGTCCAAAGTAAAATAGATAATTATTACTGATTTGCTTATATTTCGGAATGCTTAAATTACTTCTTGTTTATTGTTAGAATAGAATTATACTGAACATATGTTAATAGAATTATTAAGATAAAGTAATTTCTAAAAAATTGAATCTAAAGATTGAATTAATTTCTTCAATATAGAATATTTGAGGGAATTTTACAAAACAACACCTGGTATTAGCAAGAAAATTAAAATTTATTTTTTGTGAAGTATTATTTCATTATTTCATATTTCCCAAATTAGTTCAACGTTTTTTCATTATTAAGCAATTCTTGAATTAGTGATCTTGAGCTCAACATATTCGAGGGATCTCGATTTACCACGTATTAATCAGCTGCAAACAAATACAGAAAATCAGATCAAGAAAGATTATGTGAATTATTAATTTAAAAAAATCAAAATCTCTCTCTCTCTCTCTCTCTCTCTCTCTCTCTCTCTCTTGCTTGCAGTTTTACATGTATACAGATATGATGATTTATTATTCTTAATTTGGCATAATAAAAGCTTAATATTTTATCTGTTGCCAAAATTAAAACACAGAATTTTAAATTGATGATTATTTGCACTTGTCTTCATCGTTATTAAGGCATGTAACATTACCTTATTTTTATTATCACATCCTCGTGGACAAGGAGTTGTCAATCTCCGTCCACGTTTGCAAATTCCCGATGATATCACAATGGCCATTACCACAATCATCAGGAAAACATTAAGGAATATTTTCATTGTGCTATAAAAATAATCTTTACGCGTTCTGCGGAATCTAAAATTAAACTGCGAAATGACATATATTCAAAATTTATTTTTTTTTTTCGAAATTCTAGAATAAATTCTATATAAGCTTTTTTTTCTTTTCGATTTCTTCCTTGTTTTTTGATGTGTTGTAGATTGAAGATGTTTACATCATTTTCTGCACTCTATTATAATATTTACAATTTCTTAATGGTTTTAACTTTGTATTCTCAACAGTTTTAAATTCTTTGAAATAACACAAGGTTTTTTTTTTACTTTTCTGTAATATCCGGCTCTAATTTTTTCACCGTTTGTAATTATTACAATGTTTTTCGTCTTTTTACAAATTTAATCTTCTCACTCAATCTGATCGCTTGAACAACTCACCACGTTTTGCGGCCCCTCTATCTGGTGTTCACTATTTATAATCCACATGTGATTACGCAGCATTAATTATATGAAGGACCGGTTTTGAATTGTAATTGATCAAAAAGAAAACTTGTTGTGAATCGTATTTTTCTCTAAATAAACAAGAAATTATAATATCCAATTTACAGGGTTGGATAAGTTAATTTTTTTTTTTAACTAAGTTAAGTTTAATGGCGCAAAAATTAACTAAGTTTACATTAAAAGTTATTTAAACAAAAATTAATTCAGTTAAAGTTAATTCTCTATTCAACAGCGAATATACACATCCGACAAACTTGTACGACAAATGAAATATTCGCATTAAGATCAACCATTTTCATACGACTTTAATATTGATGAATTTTTTTAACTTGTATAAAAAAAGTTAATAAGTTAATGTATTTAAAAGTTAATACTAACGCATTTAAAAATAACTAGTTTAAGTTAAAAATTAACACGTTTAAAATTAACTAAGTTAAGTTAAAAGTTATTAACTTCTCAACTTTTTAACTTAACTTTTAACTTTTAACTTTTGACTAGTTACTACCCAACCTTGCCGGTTTATGTGTAAGATTTAGTCACACATAATGATAATTATTTTTCGCATATACTATCAAAATGCTTGAAAAATCTCTCGTTTTATTTTAGAAGTTTATGTTAGAAAAAATTCTACTAAATATATTACGTATAACATAATATATATATATATAAAATGATGAAATATGAAGAATTAGATTTACAATTGTTAAATTAATTTGTCGATTATAATTCGCTAATTGTTTATAAATACGTATTGCGATTCTTCTACGTAGTATCAAGTATTTATATAACTTACTTAATATCTCGCGATTATGCAAACTATTAATTATACAAGAAGCGGTACATATCAAGTTTTTTTCATGTAAATTCTTAAACCTACTTTTTTTAAATAAATAAGAAATTACGATGTCTAAAATAGAGATATAATCACAGTTCAAAGTTAAATATATAATTATTACTAATTTGTTTATATTTTCGAATGTTTAAATTACTTCTTGTGTATTTTTCTTGTTACAATAGAATTATAATGAATATGTTAATAGAATTATTAAGCATTGATCTTCCTGTAAAAAGTCTTGCGTTTTTTATCGACGGTTCGTGTCTGATGGGAATGTGTTGCTCTGTTATTCTCTGACATGCTTTTCAATGTTACACGATTGAACTTGGATGATGGATCTCTGTCTATCTTATGTTTAACTCCACAGTCGTTCTTAGAGAAATATATCCCATAGACGTCGAGCATCGATTTGAAGGTTTTCGGTTGACATTTTTATCTGCGTTTTACCCATGACATTAATGATCAGGAACCCGGATCGAACCGAAATCAGAACCGATAACCGTAAACCGTATTGAAATTCTGTTAAATTTATAACACCGGAATCATAACCGGACTGTTAAATTATTTTCCGTTTACGATTCTTTTCAGTACCTTTTCGGTTTTTGCAATTTATTTCCACAAAATATTTTTATATTACTAATTTAAATTTTTTATCGTTTTCTTGGCTGGGTGTCATCGGAAGATAATAAACCTAATAAAAATAGAATTTTCAAAAAGTCAAGAATGGAAAAAATAATGAAGAAAAAAATAATAAGTGCATAAAAATAATTATTTTTCAAATTAAATTTTTGTGTTGTCACGAACATAAAATAATTTACATTTGATATTACTTGTGTGCGATCGTGGCGCAGGGAGCTGTGCGTCTGCTCTGAGTTTGTCGCTATTTTATTATTAAGCAATTCTTGAATTAAAGACCTTGATCTCAAAATTTTCGAAGCAGCACGGTGTTTTTTGCATTTCTTGTATTTTGATAATTATTTATCTGCAAACAAATACAGAAAATCAAAGCAAGATAGAATATGTAAACTGTTAATTTTAAAAAATTATAATATTTCTCTCTCTCTCTCTCTCTCTCTCTCTCTCTCTCAGTTTTATATCTATATAGAGATTGTGATTTATTATTCTTAACTTTGCCTGATAAAAGCTTGATGTTTTATCTGTCGCATTAAGATTAAGATTAAAACAAAATTTTAAATTGATGATTATCTGCACGTGTCTTTATGGTTATAAGGGCATGTGACATACTTTATAACTATCGTAATATTGTGGGTAAGAGCCTGTTGTCAATCTCAGAGGGTGATCAGTATAGTAGATTGCCAATGATATCACAATGGTCAATACCACAATTATCAGGAAAACATTAAGGAATATTTTTATTGTGCTGTAAAAATAATGTTTATGTATTCTATAGAATTCAAAATTAATTCGCAGATGGACATTAATTCAAAATTAATTCGCAGAAGGACATTTATTCAAAAAGTTCATCATTTTTTCGGAATAAATTTTATGTAAGGTTTTTTTTTCTTGTTAATTTCTTTTGTTTTTTTGACGTGTTGTAGATTATAGATACTTACTTCTCATTCTGTATTCTATTATAATATTTACAATTTCTTGATGATTTTAACTTTGTATTTTCAATAGTTTTAGATTCTTTGAAATGATACAAGATTTCTTTTTATTTTTCTGTAATATCCGATTCTAATTTTTTCACCGTTTGTAATTATTACAATTTTTTTCGTCTTTTTATAAATTCGATCTTCTCAGCACATCTGATCGTTCTAACAAATCACCGCATTTTCCAGTACCTCTATCTGATGTTTACTTTTTATAATTCATCTATGATTATGCAGCATTAATTATATTAAGGATAACCGGTTTCGTAATGTAATTACAAGAAAAATACTTGTTGTGAATTGTATTTTCCTCTAAGTAAAAGAAAAATTATAATAATCAGTTTGTGTGAGATTTGGTCGCACATAAAGATAATTATTATTTTTTGCATATATTTCGAAATGCTTGAAAAATTTCTCGTTTTCCGTTTATTTTAAAAGTTTGTTATTTTAGAAGAAATTCTACTAAAATTATATTACGTATAATATAATAAAAAATGATCTCTGAAGAATTACATTCACAATCATTAAATTAATTTATCGATTATAATTTGATCTTTAATAAGATTTCTCAATCGCTAATCGTTTAAGTTTTGTGCATATTATATGTAACGTCATTGTCATATCATCGTTAATTAATGTGATAACGTGATAACTAGAAAATTTAATTTAATATATAACAAAATATATCTGCCAGAGGCTCTAAAAATGCAAGATGTAAATGTAATTTTACTGTCAGAGATCTTTGATTTTATTTTATATATCATTTTGATGGACAGGAATCAGGCTGACTATCATTGTGTAATTAATTGTATTTACCTTTAATTCATGACATGTACGCATACACAATACAAATAATATTAATCGTATAATGTGAATTTATTAGAATTTTGTTGATACATGGAGTATTTTCGTCGTTCTATCGCTACTACGATATTTTGGAGCTTCAACTCGCTTTTAGCTTTTAACTGATATTGCTGAAATGTTGGTCTGCAAACAGACATAAAATACACATGTCGTACTTTAGGAAGGAATCTGTCGCAAATCAGAACATATAATTTTCAGAGATGAAGGAAATCACACCGGAAGAAGTTATATTTTAATAAATAAACTCTGAAAGTATATTAACTCTAAAATATATTATAAACTCAATATACATAGATCGTTAAATAATTTATTTTACATCTTTGTATATTTATTTGACAAAATTTAAATTGAAAAAAATATACATATATCGATATAATTATTATCAGCTAATTTACTTAAAGTCATAACATTTAAAACTGCGCCAACATCATTAGCTAATTAATAATCATAGTTAATGAAACATACTTTTTCTGATTATTAGTAAAAACGTACGTACGATTAAATGGAAAAGTACGGATATTAAAGTATTACATTAATAGTTTTTGCATTATTGAAATCCGAGAGCTTTGATAAAAACTCTTGTGATTCAAGCGCCGATTTCGTATAAAATTGTGTATAATATATAATTGCGCTTTTATTTTTTTAATATTATTCTTTTTGCTTAATGTATTTTTTCAAAAAGTGGTTACTGCTGTCTCATTATAAAGGTTTGCGACATATTCCTCTAGAATCTTGTCTCTCGCCTTCCGGACATTTTGCAGTTGTTCTTCTGGGCGCGTCTACAATCCTGCGCTCGTAACCAAGCTTCTCCGACGGTATAAACATAAGATGTTTATCCTCATTTTCTTGACAGATTCTCAGCGGTACAAAGATTAACGTCGTCGTCACAAATATAAATAAAGTAATAATAGAAAACTTTATCTTATAATAATATTTTGTCTAAAAATAAAAGTTAAATTATTAATAATTTTTGTAGCTTTAATTCCGCATTTACTTACCTTTAGCGGCTCTCTTTTCTCAATTATTAAATATTAAGTTTCGCGAAATTTTCGAAATTTTCTATGTATTATACACTACAGTTTTGCTCCGTTTGTTTCAACCAATATTTTGCCGCTTCGCTATCGTATGTTTCTTATTTATACTCGGATGTTATACATCTGACGATGCACTTTGCTTTAATATAATAAAAAATAAAATTAAAAGTGCAGATTGGAGCGTATTGGATCACGTCATCGCGATCGAAGTTATCAATATCAATGTGATAAACTGACATATGTATCCATGTTAAATTTTTTTTTTTTTTAGACATTTTAGTAAAAGCGACAAAAATATTACAAATCTAATAAATTAATAAATATAATAATATTATGCAATAATAAACCTGGTCAATTTCGCATATTTCTATATTTTATTCTACAATTTCTTACACGCTCTAGACACTATATCCTTCTTAACTATATCCCTTAGATATACTTACTTACCACTGACTAATATCGATCTTCGATATAGTGAAAGATGTTTTAAAAATAACATCATTCATCAATCGATAAAAAATAGGTCATTATATATATTAGTGAATATATTTGTATTTAATAAATAGAAAGACAGTGAAAAAAAGAAGATGTATAAGTTCATATTTTTTTCTCATATTTAGCATTAAATACAACTGTTAATTTTTTTAACTTTATATTATTAATAATATATAATTTATTTTTTATATTGTCAATTTTTTCTATTTATTACTAGATTTTGTTGAGATACATGTATATGATTTCCTCTGTTTTACATACAAAATTGAATATAAAAAAAGTTTCAACTAATGAAAAAATTTATGGTTATATAAAATACATATATCGAGATTCATATATTACAGCTACAATTTATCACACAATTAATATAACAATAATTTGGAATGAACGATATCGATAAATGGTCGCATTGAGGTAGCGGAATAGCTGCTTCCTCTGATAATGCAAAGCTGGACAAATCAATTTAACCATTTCCACATCGCCCCATTGTTACGATATTTCATCACGACGCTTGTACGTACTTTAGGATGACATCGCTCGTATTGTCGAATCTGCAAGGGAACATAAAAATTGATGGCGCACAGATAAAAAAAGCAATAAAGTTTTTGATATTTTTATTTGGCGATATAAAAATTGAATTATGTGCAAAAGATTTCAATTTGTTTATGTTTTCTTTTTTACACGCTATGAATTCTATTTTATTGCTGTATTTAGACACGCTAAGTACTTCCGGCAGAAATTTACATAGAAAACATAAATCTCAGCTAATAAGGCACTTTATTTCAAAAATATATGTCAGAGATATTCATCATTCGTAAATTAACGCAATTTTTAAAGTTAATATGCATAATTGTATAAAGAATATTCTGAAAGAAATTTTCCGATTTTTATATCTGCGGAAATAATTAACATTTTAAAAAATAATTATTATGCACAATTTAACTTTTTATTTGTTCTTTAAACAGATAGCTAATGAACAAAATTACATAATTGCCCAAAAAATTTCCCCCAAAAAATTTTATATATAAACTTTTATATATATATATGCGGTGATAAACGAGTAATTAATTTTATAAATAACAAATAAATTAAATATTATAAATGGTTCTCTTTATACTTGCTCAGCCGCCACTCAACACGTATTTCGGATTTTTTTTCTATTTTCTTCTTCGTCCATAACTATTCTTTAACTGTTTCATGAAATTCACACATGACACATACTCGCATAAAATTTAATTAATTGCGATTGTGCGATAATCAATAATATAGTGAAATGCATTTTGTATATCCGATATTAATCGCATGACATGTGCATTTTTTTTATTGTGATGGAAAAGCTACGATTACTTTGACACATCTTGAAAATTGCATTAGTATCAGATTTATACGCCATTTATTGCAACAATATTATATCATTTGCTAACAAATAGCATTTTATTTTATATTTCGTTATAACGTAAATGAATATAAAATCAAGTCGAAATTGAAAGTAAATATTCGCGATATTTGATAAATACCGTGTAATATCCGAAAATATGATTAGATAGATATATGTTGACTATTTGTACGATAGATTCTGATTTAATAAATCTCGCGAAATTAGTAATCAACTACGACAATACATGAATGACGTTATTATTATATATGATACATTATGTATAATTGATAAATATTAAAATATGGTTTGATAACGATTGTATTTATTAATACAAAATGGTTTACAAATTACATTGCGAAGCCATTCGATCGAAATAGATTCACCCAGCATCTGCAATGTTTTGTTAATGATTGAAAAATAAGCATAAAATAGCATCGATGATTGCATCCTGATGACGCACGACGCTAAATGAAGTCGAATTAATGGCGAGTTAAAATGCGATGTATCGTTTAAATATGTACAATTAAAAATTACAGTATATTGTGATATATTTTCAACACATAAATCTCACGAAATCAATGTATTATTAATAAATGATCAATATTTTATATGGCTCTCTCTCTCTCCTCTCTCTCTCTCTCCTCTCTCTCTCTCTCTCACTCTCTCTCTCTCTTTCTCTCTTTCTCTCTCTCTTTCTCTTTCTCTCTCTCTCTCAAAGTATGTTAAACATAAACATAAACACACTACGTGTGTTTATAACGAATATGCGGTTGGCATCGTAATCATTTGTTCGGCGACGGTCGAGCAGGAAGGTAGGAGCGCGAATCGCTTCGCGTATTATCTTTTAATCGTATTACCTATCTTACGAGAAACACAATTATCTTCTACGAAGATTACAATTATCGATTAACTCGTGAATGTCGAACGAGGAATATTTATCAAGATAGATATTTTGGTAAAACTGCACAAAAGATAACACACCTCCGATTTAATCGCTATTTAAATATATTGTAGGGGAGGTTTTTCCGAGTAATTCCCCGCAAGAAATAAGTGGGGAACGGCATTGGTTTAGGAGATATAACAAATTGAAATTTCACAGTTTTAATGCTTTTTCTCGGGTATTATAAAGTAATATTAGGAAAAATGAAGTTTGTGTACGTTGTATTTGTTATAGAGCAGACGAAAAAGTGTTTGTTTACATTTACAGAATAGGTACACGATCATGGATATTTTGTCAATAATGTGTTTCACCTATTTCTCGCAGTTCGTTAACAGCTTTCAACGCGCGACTACATGAATTTCTGGGTCATATCTTCAAAAACCTTTCCTACAACATATTTAAGTGACGATTAAATCGGAAATGTGTTACCTTTTATGCAATTTTATCGATATTTTGCACGATTTTTTCATCTGAAACAAGACCAAAGCAATAAGGCTTAACAATTACATATATAACGAGTGATAATTATTTTTTTATAATACTTTGAGAATAAATATCTCGCATCGCGTTTTCAATTTTTCTTGATTTCAATATAATTTGCTCGCAAAATTACCGAATCGAAAACAGAATACGCAAATCATCGGATCGAATAATCCGATGGTACATCGCGGTATATCGTGTCGATTAATTAGGCATTAACTCGTCTTGTTTAGCGTGTACTACACGAAATCAGAGAGGATGAAGTTGTCGATGCTATTTTAGAATTTTTTGATCATTAACAAAACATCACAGATAGAGGACAAATCGATTTCGCTCGAGTGGTCTCGTGATGTTTCAATACATATATATATAACCTGATATTTTAATATTTATGAATCGCAAATCTAAATTCGGTGTTCACACATCGTCGTAATTTATCGCGCATTCCGCGAGGTTTATTGCATCGAAATCTGTCGTGCGAATAATTAGCAAATTTTTATTATTTTTTGTTATACTTTCATATATCACGCGATTTATCTCTTCAAATATATTATATTTATCCAGTATCGCGGACATTTATTTTTATTTTATACTTGTATATTTATTCATAGTATTTGTTAGCAACAGATGTAGTATTATCGCGAGAGTGACGCAGAAATTTGATCGTGCGATTCTCAATGAGTTGATGATAGTTTTCGTGTTGTTCTCTCGTCGTAATAAAGTGCGCGTCGCGTGCGGTTAACGTCGACAGTGCCGTGCAAAGTGCATCGCAATCGTCGACTAATTCTGTTGATTAGTGCGCGCGCGATCATAATTAACCGTGTTTTCGCGAGTGAGTGTTATGTGAGTGCCATGGAACAGCCCCAGAGTAATCAAACACGAAGAAGAGAGACGGAGGAGGCCTGAGATGACGTCGAGCGTCGGCGGAGCAACCGTGGGGTAAGGAATTTGTAACTCATTTAATTTATTTATTGCTTATGAAATTAATTAGCGATGTATATTAGGCAGTAATGATGTATATTTTACCTTATTATATATGATATAACGCAATATAAAATATTTTAGATTTTATTTTTAAATAAAATTGAACTATTTAATAAAATATTTCTTGTAATTAATATATTTTTAAAGTATGTATATATAAAATATTGTTTAATATTTATAATTATTTAGATTCTTTATACATATATAAGGATTAATATTTTCATCATACTTTATAAAAAGTTTATGTATAAAAAAATTTCTTTTGGGAAATGATGTTACTCTTTTTTATTAAATATCTATTTAAAATAAAAAGGATTTATTTTGCGTAGTAATTACTTTTTGAAATATTAATTATTTTGAACATTGTTTTATAATTTAAATATATTTACATTTTACACATTAACTTTATATAATACAATTCTGCTTTGCGCATCGTATTAATAAGTGTGGTAAATTAGTTTTTATTTTAATTTCAAGATAAAGAATTCATATAATGATATCGCAGTAGTAAACAAATTTTTTTTATTTATTCTTATGAATAGTTTATTTGAAATATTCGGTTTTACTATTTGTATAGTTATTATTATATTAAAAGAAAATTAGAAATTTAGATTAATAACAATATTAGAATTAAATTTATAATATCTTTTAGATCTCTATTATTTTAAAATAAATACGCACTTGCCATAAAAAAAAAAATAAAAGAAGAACAGAGAATATTTATAGTCACATATTCCCATTAATATGTGATAAAAATTATGTTAATAATTATGTTGTCTCTTTTATGCGCCACTTTTATTTTAATTTTTATAACCCAAAAAATATAAACTTTCAATTTTTTCAAAATTATATATATTTGTTTCAAAGTTTTTATAATTTAAAAAAAAAATTATGCTATATAAATTTACCATGCATAATTCTCTCTTCTTAAAATTTCTCCTAAGAATCTTCTAGAAGGATAGAATCATTCGACACTTTCCCTGCTGGTCACGTCGCTGTCCAATCGGACACGGGAACTGCGGCACTGTTATAATATTTAACGGTGATATTGTTGCCGATCCTTCAGTGGTAGACGATGTGACTCGATTTCTATTCGGTGATAATGATACGACGGTCATTATCGTCACGGCAATCGTTAACAATACGATCCAAAATTTCATTTTCTCGATATTCACCAGGCGAATATAAACTGTCTCGAACGTTTGCTCTCGATAAGATCTGTTGAAATGGCGTGTACGACGTATAAATACTTTCGTTGACAAAGCAGAAATGTTTTGCGACGCTGTTTTCTCGCTAGTCGCCGATCATTTATAAAGATGTACGCTGTTGTTATGCAATGACTGATTAGCTTTTCGTCGAGGATTCCCTGGATCAATAAAATTACAGTTCATAATTTCCAAACCCACTACAGAAATTGAGACTCATACGGTGGCGTGTCAAAGGTGAAGCAAATCTTTGATAAGAATTTATCAAAACAAGCGTAACCTTGTTGCACTTTGAGATGATGATAAATACATTATTATTTTAATTTGGATTCAATTTCTGGATGAAAATATTTAAAAAAACTTTGTTATTTTTAGTTCAATAAATCGTGCGAATTGATTTTCAACGATAACGTTCCGCGATATTTTTAGCTTAAAAATATTTTGTTGATAAATTTTCATATATAATTTTATATAATTAATAACAATGTTTATATTATATATTCATTTTCCCAATATCAAAATTTTTATACAAATTTTCTTATTTTTTCATTGCATGTTTTTTAAAAGTTTCTTTTTAAATCCGAATTATATTTTATATTCTCGCTTATTTTCTTAAATTATTTGGCTATCTGAATTCTTCTTTTTATTTACTTATTTTATGTAAGTTCTGTGGAATTAAAAAAATTTAAGCCAATTTTTCTGAAATTTTATATTAAAAAACATTTTTCTTTAGAATAGCTAATAATCGAAGTATTCAAAGTTGTTTAATACATCTTATTTAAAGTTAATGTAACAGCCAAGTATCATTTTGCATTTCAAATAATAGCCGTGAAACGTATAAATATTCATATGTGAGGCTCACAGAAAATATCTTGTCTACGAGTTTGCGTGAATATCGAAATTATCAAACATAAAGAGAGAAAGAGGTAGAGGAGAGAAAAAAAGAGAATTAGAAATACGAAAGTGACTTTTGCGGGAGATAAAGCGCATAAAAATATTTAAATGAGAAAAGCTTTTTTTTCCGCTTATTTCTATTCAAATATTGCTAAAGTGTATTAGAAAAACTTTATTTATATAGTCAATTTTATATAGAAGCTTGGTTTTTGTCGCAAAAATTTGTTACGCAAGAAAATACCTTTATGATGATGAAATTTGGTTTATCGGACTGACAAATATTTGACTTTTGCGTTGAATAAAGTTTCGTTTTTAGTAACCAAACAGAATATCGTTTTTAAAGCGAACCCATCTAGTTTTAGGACAGGAAAAAAAATTTGATTGGTTCAAAAAGAAAAACTTGATTTTCCAAGGTAAAATACATTTAGCTCTTAATATAAGAGGTTTAATTTGTATAGAACAAATGCATGATTAGTTTGTTTAAGAGAGATACGATATCTTGAATAAAAGAAATATAATTTTTGTAAGAATGATTTTAGTATTTAGAATAAAATGTTTTTTTCATGAAAAGTCTTTTAAGAAGCTTTCAAATTTTGGGTCTCTCATATTCAATAAAAAGTTACATGCAGAGTAAAAAAATCTGGATTTGTGTGTGCGGTCGAACAAATATCGAACTTTTATAACAATGTAGCTTTTAGATAAAAACACAACAATTAATCTTCTAAAATGCAACGTAAGTGAACAGATTGCTTCCACTTTTAAAACCGTGATAACAAATACGTTTGTTAGTTTCCTACATAAAACCTGCCAATTTTTATAAAAATGTTTGCTTGACGGTAGAACTTGACGATAAAATCATGTAATTAGTTCTTTGAAAATACAATTACACATTTTATAATTATAAATGAAAAACGTTTGTGCGAATGAAACAAATTATTTTATTATAGATATCATTAATTTGTACGCATAATGATAAATTTAATAATATCATTAAATTGTATGCGTAAATTAATTGCATGTTTATTACATATATTAATTAAATAAAATTAAGAGCATGCAAAAATTTAAGGTACATGGCGAAAACATTTTTTTTTTTTTTTTTTTGAATAATTTTAGTAATATTTAAAATTACCGTTACTTTTAAATATTAAATAATAGCTTCGAATTTCAAACGACAGCTTTAAGCTTGGAATATTGTTCCGTTTACGCGGAGATGTCATGAATCATACTATTAAACTTTAAATGGTATTCTGGAATGTCAGAAGACTTAAGCAATGATCATTTATTAACAGCCACTCAACTAGCACGGTAGTAGAAGTTCATTAAATTTCAAAGGCCTTTTATGCATGAATTTCGCGGACCGTCAATCAAAGGTTAAAGACCACCGATGCAGAAAAAAACACCGAACTAACCGTGTGAAATGTTAATCAATACAATACGAGCCTCCATCGTCCCTTCATATCTCGACGATACCTTCTTCCGTCTCTCTCGATCTCGACGAAGCGTTCCGGCACAGTGATAATATTCCTCTTGACCCGTTTTTTAATTTCGCTTCCGTCTTCCGTGACAACCGGCGTCTCGGCCGACAAAATGGCTACGACCTCCTGCGTCTTATCCGTCACGATTTCTTTTACTTTTTCACTGTCAGTCACCGTCGTTCTTTCAGCCATTGTAACGCCTCCTCGATTGTTGGATTCTTAAACGATTTTCGATAATCCTATTTTTCCGTCTAATCTTGCCGTCAGATCTTCGATAGATCCCTGTCTTTCGGATCGACTTTTCAGATACGGTCGTTGCTTCTTGAATATTAAATAATAACTTTGAATTTTAAATGACTTGAATTTTAAATCTGAACGACTGTTTGTGTGTGATAATATCATGAATCATATTCTTGAATTCTAAATGAAAAAAAAATTTTGAAATGTTAGATAAAAATATCTTGAAAAAGCGATTTTCTCTCTCTCTCTCTCTCTCTTTCTCTTTTTTTAAGTAAAATCCCCTGGAATAATTATCTAAAATCTTAACTCGTACATTTTCAATATTAAATACTATATTTTCACATATATAAATCTTAAAGAGAGAAAGAGAGATTTAATAAATGTTTAATATAAATATAATTTTTCTGGAGTATATATATATATTTAAATAACATTTTAAAATCTTTAGTAACACATATTTTCTATAGTTTTAAGCAGTATTTCTAAGACCACTGAATGGGAAATTATTGTCGTTAAACTGTCGTTTCGATTTTTATAGTAGCAATTCATTTTTCTATTACTTATTGGAATGACCTCGGAATGTTTCTTGCCACTTTATCGATTCGACAATGTCTTATTGCCATTATGAAACTCGATTTATTGTCTCATTGTCAGATATTATTGATATTTAAAATTTCTTTCCGTTTCAAACATATATTGCATGAAAGATATTAATCCAATTTATACATAATACACACGTTATATCACGCGCGTGTCAGATGAATTAAATAATAATCTTTCATTTATCTCAACTCTGTCGATTTACAATATTGTTTAGCAATGTTATATTATAATTCAATTTTTACCGAATTTGATATTTAATATTTAATATAAAAATGTGTGCATATATGTATATGTATACATATATATTTTCTCTATTGAATACGTTAAATATAATTACATTTCTTAATGCTTTAAAAAACTAAGAGAGAGAGAGAAAGAAAGAAAAAGAGAAAAAACTGTTTTATATATCTATATAAAATATCTTTTTATTTACCATAAATATTGATTTGTGGTATATAACCTTCTCAAAAGTTCTTATCATCGTCCGCCGTGTTACAGCACATTACGACGCAGAAAAATATTATCTTGAATCCATCGAACGTGTAATCTATCAGCGTAATTTGGCGCGTTTCTCACGGCGTCTCTTCGGTTTACTCGACAACGATTTCTTGACGATTGAGGAGGTCTCTTTTTTTCCCATCCGCTCGATACTCGCGGTCTTATCGTTATCGTTTGCTATCAATTGGCAAACGTTAAGCCTTATCGTGGAAGGTTCGCTCTTTATTGCGCCTGAAGCGGATTCCGGACGGATTAGAAGCGCTCGGGCGCGGCTCTTCAACTTGGACGAAGTGCTGTTGAAGGGCTATTGCGGGACGAAAGGCAAACGTTCATCGCCGTCGTCATCACGCGAAAGTAAATTCGAGCTACAAATGCAATAGCCGAGAAGAATGGAATGCAGTTGCAACGGATTACGGTTAAATTCTCGAAATTGCAGCTGCCGCGGGGAAAAGCGTGGCAGGCAAATAGAGAATGGCACGCGATCGATTACTGGAGATTCCGCTTTAATCTTCTGGTGGCAAGTGGCGAAATCTCACGGATTTGCATCGGCGAGGAATATACGAAACTCCCTACGTCTGCGAGAAAAATAGTTCGTTTATTGCAAGCGATTAAATTGAACGGTTAAATGCAACGCGCGCGCGGTAATCCATTTTCAAAGAACCCGTGAAAATCTAAAATTAAAATCTAAATTTACTTCTCTCTCTATCATTTTGAGTTTGATAGTTTAATATTCTCGAATTTTTAAGAAAGTTGATTATGGATCATTAAGAATGTGATTACTCGCAGTTAATTATTAATTTGTTCAGATTATTTATAGCGATATATATTAAAGCGCGAAGAAAAGAAAATCTGCGACAGCTCGAATATTAGTCGAGCAGTAGATTGAGTTTTCGAGAAAAATTAACTTTTTACGAGAAATAAAAGAGGACAGTTCGAAATGTGCTTGGCAACGTTGTCGGAACGTTTCATAAGAATTTACTTTATAATCGCTTCAACTAGTAGCCATCAAACTTTCCGAACATCACCTCTTTCATGAACTTGTAGAATGCGTTCTCTTTAAAATTGCAATTTTCGCAACCCATGAATAAACACAAAATAACGTTAAAATTTAAAATAATAATAAATAATTGTACACTTATTTAAAATATATCAATTAAGATTTTTTAATTTAATAATAACAAAGTATTACAAAATTAAACTGTATAAAATAGATTAACTTTAATCTTTATTCAACAAAATAGATAAGCTTGCTTTATATTTATACTGATAACATCGTTTTCCTACCGATCATTTGGCTCTTATAACACATAAGAAGTTATGTACATACTTTATATAAACAATTGGCTTGAACTATTTAACACAGGTAAAATACTAGTAAAAATATTAGATATTAATTCGCGTGGAAAAAAAATCTTACATCCTGGAATAATAACGATAATTCCATACAAAAATCAAATACATCTTTGCGAACATCTTTTAACTTTTAACTGTAGAGTGATGGTGCAAACCGAGTGCAGCAGCTGTTTAAATATGATTTATTCTAACAGTTTGATTCAAAGTTATTTAATTTACGATTTAAATTATTTTCAACGGTATTTTATTTAACATGATACATTGAACTATCTTGCTCTTTATTGCTGATTATTTAAATTTTTATGATATGTGTTTTGCTCGCGTATAGACAGGAGGTAATTAACATTTTCCTGATATTTGTTTTGCTCTTATAAGCAGGAGGTAATTAATAGCGATGCAATGTTTTTATATTTCACAATATAATAATAAATTACATAAAATAATTTTGAGATACAATTTGATTTTAAAATTGCTTTGGGCGATATATGACTCACGACACAATATTCGGGATAGAATTTTATTTATAATTTTATGAACCACATTTTATATAATATAATATAATATAATATAATATATTTATATAATAAAAGTTTTTTATAAAAACATATTATAAAAATATTACGAATAAGTTTTAGAAATGTTTAATTTTTGCTTAATTTTTCATGTCAATAACAATTTGGCAAATGAAAAATTAAATTTTAAATAAATTGATATTATTTTACTCTATAATCAAATATTGGAATTTTTTTAAAATCTTTTTTGTTTTTATACATAATGTTTTGTAAAACTTTTATTAAACTTTTGTGTGCGACAAAATTTACTGCATCAATAATTTTTTTCAAGCAATTTTTTAATTTTCGTCATTGAAGATTTTAACAATCGAACTTGAAACTAAAGTTCTACTAAAGACGACCCTGCTCGAAATTAACTATAGAATAAGATATTTTCACGCATCTATATCTTCGAAGTGTTATGAGTTTGAAAGTTACAACGGGAAAAGGTCGACTAAATTTGTCAAGGGATAGTTTCCTTCGTAAAGTTTGATGTCGTCGCGAAATACTTTGTATATTCTATGCATCTTGGAGGTATCACCTCGACTTTGCGTTATGTCACCAAGAATGGCATCTCGATGTTACAAGCTTTAAGACTGCACAAGTCATTAAATAATTGCGAAATGCAATGTAATGTAATTCTTTGCACAGAGACTTTAATTAAATTACTGATGAAAAAGCAAACGTTTTTTGTCGTCGTCGTCGTCGACCCGCGGGAAGTAAATTCCGTCTATTTGAAAGAGTACGACAAGGAAGAATGGAACGCGGTTACAATGGAGTACAATTAGGCTACTGAAAACGCGCGGAGAAAATTCTTGAGGAAACGCCGTCGGGAAACGCGTTGCCGCGCGCAAATAGAAGACGACATCATCTCGTTTTTAGATCAATATCTTATGGCGGGAACGACCAATGTCGCGTTTTACGGTGTCGGAAAATAGAACAATGGCGATGTTATGTATTCACGGGTTATAGAATATTCATTCATTTGTTTGCCTTTAAACCGCGGAACAACACTTGCTTTCAATGCAAAAGTTCTGAAACAATTATTAAATAGATTACGGCATAGATTAAACTCATTGAATAATTTTGATTACACTCCTCGTGCTTTATATAATGAGAGCATATTGAAAACGGCATAAATCAAATTTGGCAATATATTCGGGTCAAATCTCGCCCGTCGAGTTGGAGTTTCCCCGAACTTCTCTTGAAATCGCAATTTCCGTACTTGTAGAAGAAATAGTTCATGAGCAGTTACATTTATAAATCTCAAAGGAGGTAATAAATTACCTCGTTTTGCGGCCGTTGCGAGTTTTTAACAATAAAAGAGAATTCAAGAACTAAAGGGCGAAAAGATAATGGCAGCTTTCAAATGAACTGCTTTTTTATGCAGTTCTGAAGAATTAGATAAGACATGGACATGAATAAGTGCACAAAGCGAGTATTTTATCAAGAAATTCTATCTTTTAATGTCTCATACATTCCACGAAAAACCTGCTCATTACTTTTTTGTCACACACATTTATCACGACATCAAATATACAGAATGTAAATTGTTATTCTCGTTATGCATATATTACGTTTATTATATAAATCTCTCGCTGGAATATTGTAAAAGCTTGCAACAAATATGAGAGAAACAAAAATTAGGTAAAGTCAGGGAATTTTCGAATTCTTTTCATAATCTTACGCGAGATACTTGGCAGAAGTCAAGACCAAGATCGGTCGCCTCTTACAACAAGAATGTCACAGAGGAGGCTGCAACGCTTTGTAAAGACCATAAGGGCGCTTACCTTGTTGCGAGTGAAATTGTTTTCACGACCACCTTCGCTTAGTTAGTTTTAACAGAATTTCGCCCCCGCAAGCTCATTCTCGCTGCCTCTCCCTTTTTCTCTCCCCCTCTCTCTCTCTCTCTCTCTCCCTTTCTCTGGGCTAGCTGAAAACCTCATTCTAAAGTGCCATATAAGGTGTTTTAAAACCGTGTGTTCTTCCAACCGTAAGTACTAGAGGCACAAACTAAAAAGAACTACACGTCGTTTGGTTGCTACATATAATAGGGCGCAAAATTCATGGAATTTTTAAACATCAAAAACGAAAGGATTTTGACGGATTAAGCATTGCGGATGTAGATAATAAATAAAAGCAGATAACATATATATGATATGAAATAAAATGATTAAATAAATAAAATAATGTTTTTTTTTTTTTTATTAATGCGTACAGCTTGGTGCATAATTATATCGAGATACATAATGTAAAAAAATTGTAAAAGGAATAAGATTTTCTCTATAGAATTTTCTCACAAAGGAGAAGATATGGGATTGATTATTCTGCAGGTTTAGATTGCACGATAATTTTGCTGACACAAATTCGTGTGCTTTGCGGCACAAAAGTTTGATGCCGCCGTCGAAAATGTAATTAACATGATTAATCGATGTGCCGATGCGCATATAATATGGATAGAACTCGTGCACTTTGATGCACCTCGCGATGCACATTATGTGTCATGTCTCGCGAAAGCGTTTCGCCGACGCATTGCGAATGGATTCAGAGGGATGATGACGAGGATGGGAGAGCGATATAACGTTCGGTGTTATGCATCGCATTCCCACCCCCATCCTCCCATCGGCAATCTCTCTCCTCTTCCTCTTCCACTCTCATTCCACCGTCCCTATCCGCCTATCTTCGCGTTCGTGCATCGTTTACTTCGCATCAAGCGCAAGCTGACGGGAATCCCTGTTTCATGTGACAAATATTCTTCAGCGAGACAGAACAGAAACTAAATTTCTTACCATCTCGAATAAGTAACTCGTAACTGAAGCAAAAAAAAGGTTCATTAAAACAAATATCTCTGATGTTTTATTTTTTTTTTCTAATTTATTTTTAGTGTATTTGCTTGTCTTATTTTATTTTTTATATTTTGTTTGATGTTTTATATATTATGATTCTTTCTTTTAGATTTATTTTGAAGGATTAACAGAGTTTTTATAAATTTAGAATTTTTTTTACTCAAGAGATTTATCTTTGAATATTCGCTGTTTAATTGCTTGGATCTAATTTGACATGTAATTATAAGCATATTCGAGCGATTTGATTTTTTAATATTTTATTCCATCTTCTTTGATTTGAATCTAATTTATTTTATATATATATATATATAGATTTTGTTATTTAATTATATATTAAGATTCTATAAGTAGTGATGATAAGCC